CGGCCCCGCCGGCGCCCGCCGCGCACTCGAGGAGATGAGGCTCCGCAATGGCACCTTCCTGACGCTGCTGCTCTTCTGCCTGTGCGCCTTCCTCTCGCTCTCCTGGTACGCGGCGCTCAGCGGCCAGAAAGGTGAGTCCCCGCCTCCACCGTCGCTCAGGCCCGGCCCCGCACCTGGGCGCACCTGGGCGCCAGCGGCCGTTGTGGGGTCTGGGCAGTGGCCGCGGGAGGCAGCCCGACGCCGACGCAGGCGCCCCTTCCCCGCCCCGGCAGCTAGGAGGACGCCCCTCCCATCCTCGTCCCCACTTGTTTGCCGCTAGAATAAGGAGATTCCTCTGGTCCAGGAGGGCTAGGCCGCTGGGCCGACCTGTTGGGGGGGTGAGGGTGGGGGTGGGCATTCAGAACATGGACTGGCCTCTGTATGGATAGCTACACTGATGCTGCGGTGGTTGCTTGTATCTGAGGGTTGCTGGAGGACCCTCAAGAGTTCTGAAAAAGGCTGAGATACAAGGTCACAGAGTTGACTGTAATCAAGTGGACCCTGGGATGTCCACCTGGAGAACAGGTCCACTGTTCTGACACAGGTGTACAGAGGCAGCCCTAGGGCCGCTTTCTTTGCTCCTGCATCCTGCTCTCTGGGGCAGTTCATTGGGCAGGACCTGACAGCTACCTTCAGGACCCAGGTGCCTGGGTGCTGGAAAGGCTTCACTTGGCCTCGGGCCTAGGGAGAGAGTGGAGAGCCTCCTGAACAGCCAGCCCAGACCTTCTGCGCTTTAACTTTGTGTGGGCTGACTGGGCCACCTCCCTGACTGGAGTTTGGTCAGCTGGCCCTGCTCAGGCCGGCCTTGGCCCTCTCTGCCTGGCCAGTAGCTTGGCCTGAGGCAAGCCCCACACTGGCTGCAGTTGTTGGTGCTGAAGGGATGAGGAAGCCCTTAGAGGCCCCTGTCCCCTGGCCTGAAGCACAGGAGGCTCTGGGAAAACTGCTTCCTTCCTGCCTCCAGGCCTTCCTGTAGGAGACTGGGCAGAATCAGAGGGGGGCCAGCTGACCCAGTGTCTCCCGCCTGCTTCCTTGTTCCCAACCCCGCACTAGATAAAGCTGGCAGGGAAGGGCTGGGAGGAGCTGGAACCATCCCATTCCACCAAGCCTCTACTGCCCAGTCAACCGCAGTTGTACTGTTGGGGGCCTAGACTCTAGTGCTAAGATCACATTTCCAGGGACCTGGCATAAGGAGGGCGTGTTGGGAGCAAGTTCTCTGTTGACCCAACATGAATCCCTGGGGAGGGTGTGGTTATGCCAGAGACTCAGTGGATGAGGCTTGTCACAGGGGAGGGCATTTGGGCCCCATGGGAGAGTGGTCCTGTCAGGAGACTGCCATGGTAGAGTTGGAACTGAGGTCTAAGTAGGGCCATAGTTGGAGGCTGAGGTATACTGGTCCCATTGTAGATGAGTGATAAGCTCGTGAAACTTCAGCCAGACTAGTTCATGTGAGTTTCTTGTAGCAGCCACATGCCCATCTGATGGCAGAAGCTGTCATGCAGGGTTCCCCACAGGGGCCCTTTCTGGAAGGCAGGTTTCAGTGACCCCATCTAAGTCCCGCTATGCCAAAGTAGGGGACATCCAAGGGGCTGGCTCTGCAAGGACCTGGGGATCTGAGTGTGACGCTCGGACATAGGGCTCATCGTCTCTTGGGGAAGCCCAGGGAGCTGTGAGGTATGGAGAGACAGTGCCTGTTTCCGTGAGGGCCTCAAGAGAAGACTGTGAGGGGAACCTTTGTGATTCTTCCATCAGACAACTCATTCTGTGTTCAGCCCGGGTGATGCTGGACTGAGCAGGGCTGAGGACAGACTGGATCCCAGCTTCTAGTTTATAGTAGATGGAAGGCTCAGAATAGGACTGGCCCAGGTACCAGGACTTAGGGGAAGGCAGAGGAGTCATAATCTTCAGGGTAAGGGGACAGAGAAGTCTCGGAACATCCTGGAAGCTGAGGGAAGATAAGAGGACAACCCAGGGATAGAAAGGAATCTTAAGCCTTGGCATGGGTTTGGGGCCCAATTTCACATTCAGCCTTATTCTGAAACAGCCTAGATAGCCCTCAAACTCTATCCCTTAGCCACACACCTGTTCCCCAGGGAGGTATCAGCAGACCCTCCAGGGGGCTGGCCTTGGGCAGAAGCCACACAATCCAGCCCTCCCCAGTATCCAGGCCAGGCTGCCCATCACCACACCTGGATTTTAGGAAGGATGGATGCCTTCTTTGGCTCCTGGAGGCTGCCGGGCCTAGAAAGGAGGTGACCATCTACCTCTCTCGATGGCCTCCTGCCCCTGCAGTCTAGCAGCAAGAACTGGCATCTGCCTGGGCCCTTCTGAATCTGTCACCCCAACCTAAGTATTAGGGCACAAGCTTAGCTCTTAAATCTGTTTCTTCAACCAAGAGGCAACCAGACTGAAGATTGTGGTTCGAGGGCCTCTGGCCCCACAGGTGGTTCTGCTTTCAGAGGAGGGAGTGCAAAAGTCAGCAGACCACACTACCACCAATGGGGCCCACCTCCGTGGGTGTGTGTGTGTGTGTGTGTGTGTGTGTGTGTGTGTGTGTGTGTGTGTCCCTGAAGGTGGGGATAGAAGCAGCAGCATGCCTGGCTCAGCCCTTTGTCTCTGCTCATCACTTGAACTACCTTCTAGCTCACTCACCACCTCAGTCCAGCCTTGAGCCCCATGAGGCCTGTAGGGTATCAGGGTGGCCTGGCAAGTTGTGGCATAAAGCCCAGCCCATAAGGAGGTGGGCACAGAGCTCATTTTGGGCTTCAACAGGCAAGGATCAAATGGGCCCACTGCTCAAGAGGCCAGGAGTGAGGGTCTGGGAAGACAAGCTGCCGAGAGACACCCACTGGGCTTATATGCTCCTGGTACACAGGAAGCTCAAGTCCTGATGGGAGGCTGGGGCAGGCCAGTAAGCAGGTTGGGTGCAGGTTGCTGAGCCTCTTGCTCCCTCCCCCCATGTTAGAGTGAACCTGCTCCAGGGGGCTGCCATGGGTGTTGCCCTGAGCCAAGGGAGAACCCAGGCCTTGGGGCCCATAGACCCCTCTGGGTAGGTGGCCTGAGGTGCTGCTGCAAGCAAGTGGGAGCTATACCCCTCATCCTGGGGCTTAACTCTCCAAGGGGCTCGGTGGGCCCACTGGGCACCCCTCCCTATGTGTGTGTGTGTGTGCGTGCGTGCGTGCGTGCGTGCGTGTGTGTGTGCGCGCGCGCTCTCACAGCATGGAGCACATTGATGTTGGAAGTGGCCCTGGCTCCTCTAGGGAGGTCAGCATGGAACCTCACAGGTCTGTAACCAATCTCCCCTCTCCTGGGGCTCTCTGAAAGTTCGGCAGGCCTCAACCTTTAGTTTAGGCTGGGTGGTATAATGCTTACACATTGGACTGCTAACCAAAAAGGTCAGCAGATCAAAACCACCACCTGCTTCACGAGAGAAAGACAGGGCTTTCTGCGCCTGTAGACAGTTACAGTCTCAGAAAGGCAGAGCAGTTCTACCCTGTCCTTCCGGGTCAGTGTGGGTCAGCATTGACTTGATGGCGGTGAGTTCCGTTTTTGAATTTGGGCAGAACGGGGGAAGGGGAAGGTGAAGGTTAGAGGGTTGGGCTGCGCTCCTCAAGGAGGAGGTATGGAATCATGGGAAGATCCACTTGGCTCCCCTACCCCACAGCCTCTCCTATAGCCCCAAGCCCCTGGCTGCCTCCAGCCTTCCTCCTCCTTCAGATTTAGCACATTTCCAGCTCTGGCTATAAATGGGTGAGTGCCCGGTGGTTGGACTTTTACCTTGGTCATGGATGACCTTTGGTCCACAAGCGTGTGGGGGTGGTGCCCTCCTAGGACCCACTGGCGGGGAGGGGCCTATGAATCTACCGGGGAGCAGGGACTGGATGAGCCGTCCCAAGGTGAAGAGGGGCTTCTGGAAGTCTTCCTAGAGTTGGAGACATTGCAACCAGGTCCAGCGGTTCTCGCCAGGCCCAGAAGAGAAAAGAGACTCTCATTGTAGACCTCAGATAAGGAACAGGAGCTGTGGGTGAGAGCAAATAAAGGGGGCAAAAGCTATATTAGAAAAGACCTTGAGAGCAGAGCCCAGCAGAAACTGCTGGCCCCCAGCTGGCGGGATGTTGTTTATCTCAATCTTGCTGGTTGGTTCCTGTAGCTCAGCGGAGCCGGGTGCTTGGCACCCTGGAGACTCTTCTCCACTACCAGGCAGTCTCCTGGGTATGGGGGAGGATGCCACCTGCCCCAGCTGTGCAATGTTGATTGTGGCTTGACTGCTCCTGGTCACCCTGCACCCCTGCTGCCCTGGGCCCAGCTGCCACCAGCTGGGCCGCAGCCTGAAGTTCTGGCATGGGTCCTCTTGAGGCGGTATGCACACCCTTGAAGGTCTCGGAGCCCCCGGCATCAGAGCATTCAGAGCCCCTGCTTCCTCTCTGCTGCCCCCTCACGGGTGATTCTGGGCTTCTTTGCTGGTTTCTTTTCCTGTGGTCAAAATAGATATAATGACATTTGCCGC